GCGAACCACTGCTTTAAGCAGTTGACCTTCAAGCGGATATAGTAGCAACCATGTGCTTACAAGTAGCACCTTAAAATTGGCAGTATTAAAAAAAAGGCATTATTATGGGGGGACATTGTAGGGAATAACTTTTACTTAGGAGAATGTGACTGGAATGCATCTCCAACTCATGAAGTGAAGGTCTCCTGCCACAGAAGCCCCCGTCTCCCAGACTCCTTAACGTAGGAGCTTGGAGAGTTTGTCCTTATACACTCTCTTCCTGAATGCTTCCCACATGGCCCCAGACTGGGTAGTGTTTTGTTCTGTGGTACATAGGGTTGCCATGAGTCAGGACCAAACTGACAGTAACAAAGCAATAAATTTCTGATGCAACATGGATGAATCTTGATGATAATACGTTAAGTGAAATAAGCCAGACATAAAAGGATAAATATTGTATAATTGCGTTTACATGAAATAACGAGAAGTGGTAAATGCATCTAACAGATTAGTAGTTGCCAGGACTGTGGGAACTGAGGGCTGAACAGGGGTTGTTATTGCTTAATGGTTACAGAGTTTCTGTTCACAGTGGTGAAAAAGCTTTGGAAAGAATGGTGATGGTTATACATCATGAATATAACAAATGTTACTTATTTGTATTTAACAATGGCTAAAATGGCAAACTTGGCGTTGATGTCTTACCACAATTAAAAAATAAAATCCATGCTTTCCCACTCAACTCTGAACCTGGCTTACCTGACCCAACCCCTGTCTACCTCTCACACTTCATCTTGTACCATGCTCCAATTCTCTTCATCAACTCCAGCTGTTGTCATTGCTCTTAGCTGCCGTTGACTTGGCTCTGACTCTTAGCACGGACACTTTATGTATAGCAGCACGACAAATGTGTGGTGTCATACCATCTTCATGATCACTGGTATGCCACTAGCCTTTACATCCCTCAACTGGGGCTTTTGCTGTTGCTGTGCATCTTGTGCTTTCCCTTCGAGCACAGTTGGGGTTTGCAGGACTAGTTGCTGCTATTGTGCACCGTGGAGTAGATTCGGACTCTTAGCGAGCCGACTTACAGACGACAATTGTTTCAACCAGGGTGTAAATCCATCTTGCTCAGGGGCATTGTCTTTTTCACTTTATCAAACCTGTCCTTTTCCAGGGACTGGTCTTTCCTGGTAACATGTCCAAAGTCCACACTTTAAACAAGTTGCAGAATAAATTGCTTGTAATTCTGATCTCTGCTTTAACGTCATTTCTCCAGAGGCCTTATCTGACCATATTGTAGAGCTGCACCCACTTAGTTTTATTACACTGCCTTGTTTTAATTAAGAAGCCTAGGGAGGCAGTGCTTAAATGTTTGGGGGCTAACCAAGCCATTAGCTCTTAGAACCCGCACTTTGCTCCAAGAGAGAGACTTTGACAGTTTGCTTATACAAATATTTACAACCTTGTAAACTGGTGGGGGCAGGGGGAGGGGGGAGGAGCAGTCCTATCTTGTCCTATCTGGCCCTCCTAAGTTGGGACCAACTTCGTGTTTGGTTTTTTTTGGTGGGTTATTTTAATTAACTGCAGAACATTTATCACTTCTAATATTTATTCATCTGCTTATGTCTATTTTTCCCTCACGAAATAAAACCTCCTGCAGTCAGGTGCCTAGTCAATTTTCTCTGTTGCCCCTGCGAATGTCTTTAACAGTGCCTGGTACATAGATGCTCAACCGAAACTTTCATCGAATGAAAGTGTAGGATAAAAAGGAACAATAGCTAAAGGAAACATGGGTAATACTCGCAGGGAAATCAGAGAAGCCTGGATTTAACTTAACCTCATCAGAAAACAGTGAGGATTAAACAGCCCAAAGCAAATAATGTCCCATAGTGATTCACCTTATTTCTGATCGTGTCTAAAGAAAACATCCGTAGGCAGGATTCTGCGTTTGTTTTGCTTTTTACTTAAAAAGCCTTGTAAAGCAGCTCAGAGTGTTCTCGAAAAGCAATTGTGGCACTGCCATTCTACGTTCCAGTGCGCTTGATTCGGTCCCCACCAGGGGAAGTAGCAAACGTGGCCCCGCCTATTCCGCTACCCCATCCGCCGGAAGTCAGCGCACCACGAGGACCCGTCCTGGGCGCAGACCCGGCCTCCCGTCCGCGCGTCCCCCTACGTAAAGCGTGAGGAGCTTCACGACAGCGCAGGCTCCACCCCTTTGGCCACATGTCGCGCTGGTCTTCCCGTCGGACGCAGCGCCGCCTCCTCGCGCAGCTTTACGAACCCAGAGCCGCGCCGCGCCGCCCCGCCCCGCCTCCGGTCTCCCTCCAGCCCTCCCCGCCCCCTCCCAGCCTCGCGTCTGCCAGCCGGACGCGCCCGCTATAATCACGTGACTGCCTCATCCGGGTCCTTTGCGTTCTCTCTCCCTCTCCCAACATGGCGGCCTCAGGTGAGTGAGTGGCCGAGCGCGGCGACGAACCGGGCTCCGAAACCACCTTACCAACCTGATCCAGTGATTACCTGGAGTCGGGGAGCGGGCGGCACCGCTTCCCTTAGAGTTGGGGGCTGCGGCAGGCTGGCGGCTTGGCCATTTTAGGTTGTTGCCACGGGATGTCTAGGGGGGAGGGGAAGGTGCCCTTCCCCTCCCCCTCGCGGCCTTTTCACCCCATCTGCGCGAGGCCGGAGTGGAGGGTAAAGGTGGACCTGACGAGTTGGCGTGAGGAGGAAGCACAGAAAGACCTGCTAGGGGCGCGAGACCTCCTCATGGACCTGATACACTGAGCCCGTGTGAAGGCGTGGAGGAAAGAAGGCGGTTGGCGCGCGGATGGGAGCACGCTAGACCTGGTCTCCAAGGCGCGAGGCCGTTGCGTTCTGGAGTGGGGGCAGGGGAATAAAGGGGGGGACAGTTAGAACGCGAGCGCGTGTCAGTGGAGGGGCGGGAGGGGGGGGTGAGGTTGCGGTGCGCGTGCGCGGTAGGAGGGACCAGGGTAGTGGAGACGGCGCGCCTTGAGAGCTCGCGCGAGTGCCCAGATGGCATGGTTTTACGTGCTTCTGTTGCCCCCTTTTAGGTCCTCCCACTTTCTGTACCTTTACCCTTAGGATACGTGCGACCCAGCCTTTCTCTTCAAAGTGTGCATGTGTTAGGATGGAGGTTGAAGCCCCTGCAGTTAGGTGGGGGTGGGGAGCCCAGTGTGGTGCGCCCACGTGTTGGGAGAGGAAGCAGGGCTGGCAGCCTAGATTTCCCTCTAGGATTTTTGTCTTGTCCCTTCACGTTTTCAAAGAGTGGAAACGTTATGCACTGTTGCAAGGCGTTGGAGATAGCCATGAGCACCATCGGGTCCCTGCTCTTAGGGACCAAACTTTCCTTTTGCATTGAGGTTTGGGAGCTCTTAATGGTAGATTTCACTTCCTCCGCCCCCCCCCCTGTAAATATGTAACTGCTAAGGATGCAGTTAATATACTTTAATTAGTGGTCAGAAATTGGGTTGCTTTCAAGGGCGAATTTTCATTACCTCGCAAATCCTTTTAATGGACTTAAGAGAAGCCGCAGTAAGCTGCAGCATCTTGTAACATTAATTTTTGTTCGGGGAGGGAATATAGTCTTTTGAAGTCCATGGATCCCTTGCTATGTCTTCTCTCTAGGGATTTATCTTTTCTCTTACAAAGAAAGTTAAGGTTGTGTCCAGTGTTGGGGTGACTAGGGTGCTTATGAACATAGTACTTTTCGTTGAATTCTTCAGTGTAGACTGGACAGTTGGCCCAACATTTTAGTACATGTTGCCTCTAATCCTGTGAGGTAGTATAGATAAATGGCAGCCTTCCTTAGCTGAGGAACATGAAATCATTTGTGCAATGTCACTCTGCTTACAGATGGGTGGAGAAGGGCCAAAATCTGTCACCCCCTTGCCTGCTCTTTTCCATTGCTTAGTTGGGAGGATCTTGGTTAGCGTGCTGCCCCAAAGCCTCATCGACATTCTAAGATGCTCTAAGATTGTACATGTTTTCCTCCTGTGGACTAGTAAATTCCTACATCTGTTGCATGCTTATTGTGTCCAGTCTCGTGACTTAATGAAAGATCTATATTCTCCATCTCTGTACTTGTGTGCAAAATTAGCGGGAGAGCACGTTAGCAATTATCTAGCTTATGTCTTCCATCCTGCACCATGTTATGTGAAATTTACACTGGTTGAAGAGATGTGGTCGATCATGTCCTTTTGACTAGGGACACTTCTCAGCTCTGCTTGAGAATATAACTGGCAGTGTGCCCTGGAGAAATTTTAGGGTTACCAAATTTCTTTTTGCCTTTATAATTTTTTTCACTCATTGACTATCAGATGGGTCCGTATTTATAGATGTGGCTATGCTGATGAGACTAAAACACTTTTCGGTATGTTTCCTGGTGGTACCTACTGTCTTGTTGGAAATAGATTTTGTTGATTTTGTGGAAATACGTGATACAATTTCATAGGCCTCTTTTAAGGCTGGAGATTCTTTGCAGCAACAGCAGTGTCCAGTGTGACCCATTGTTGACCTTCAAGAACTGAAAGTACCCCAGGTCTTTATTGCCTGGAAAAATCTTTGGTTTCTGGGAATTTGATCCCTTGAACGAGGTCACTTTAATTCCTTGGTTGGCTTAAGAATACACCCTACTTTGTTCTAGTTCTTTTACTTCTTGAGTCGCAGTGGTAGCATCTATAAAATGGACATAGTTTTTCTGCTTTCCTTTACCGTAGAAAAGAAAGTGCTTGATGCGGGTGAAGACTCCTTACAGCTAAAATGCTTTAAAATTGGGAGCTGTACTTATGCACCAGTCATTTATTTGCCTAGCACTTCAAAATGCTATTGAATGGCATTTTTATGGAGAAAGGTGGTGTCCCTAATTGTTTTCAAATGGTTTTGATCTACTGGCATCTTCCTGTTTATTGATTATAATGTACTTGGTCTCTTCATTACCATGTAGTTACCCAAGTGGTGTCCCCTAGATTCAGAAGACAGACTAAAACTTGGGGGAATTCAAAGCCAAATACAGAGAGCAGAATATTGTTTCTGGCTAATACCGATAAAAAGTGTGTCTTGCCATAAAATGCCCTATTATATCTTAGGATATAATTATTATTTTCATTATCTTTTATCTTATCATTATCTTTTCATGATTGTGGGATGAAAATAACATCAGAATATATCAAGACCCAAATACTTGTTTTTAATTGAGTGTATGTCTGCAGTTATGAATACACAAGCAGGTTCCATTTCTTAGTAATAAAAACTCTTATCATTGGGTCGATTCCAACTCTGACCCCTGTATGGCAGTAGAACAGTCCTGTGAGCTTCCCAGCCTGTGAATCTTCACTAGTCTCAACTGGAGTAGGGCGCCTCGCTTTCCTCCTGCAGAGCTGCTGCTGGTGTGGGTAGCCCCCCAGTAGGTAACCTATTAAGCAACCAGGGCTCCTCTTAGATTTGTACTAGAAACTGAGTGTCTCCAGGGGGATAAAGGAGCTCTTGATTTCGTGTAGATCATCCTTTTGAAACTACCGCCTTAGAAAGATGAAGCTTTCTGATCTTATAAACATTTAGTCTCGGAAACCTACAGAGACCTTGTCCTTGACAAGCATGCAGTATCGTGTTTTCTTTAAATTGTCCATGAAGAAGTTGGGCATGTGGGAGGTTTTGTGAACACAGAATCTGAGTTTCTAAATCTTGACCAGTCTTTATTCTCTAAACTGCACAGTGCGGCAAAGGTGCAAGGCATCTTAACTTGATAGTGCATTGTAGGGCAGTCTTCTAGGCGCTAAACAGTATAAGGTCCACTGGTATTTGGGTGTGTTGCATGGATGTATACAATACTGGGGAGCTGCAAAAAGTTTGTGGAAGATTAGGATTAAAAGATAACAGATTTTTTTAAACCCTTTCATTCTCAAAAAAAACTTCACTATTTAATAACAGATTCTTTTTAACCAAATCAAGTAGATGTCCCAGGCATGTTGGCAGTCACTTTCCGTTTCCTCCTTCCCCGCTCCTGGTGACCACTAATGGACTCTCTGGCTCTATGGATTTTCCTATTCTGGACTTCCGAAGGAGCTCCGGTGGCACAGTGGTTACAAGTTGGGGTACTAGCCACATAGTTGACTGTTCAAAATCACCAGCAGCTCTGTAGGAGAAAGACTGGGCTTTCTTACCCTTAAACCGTTACAGTCTTGGAAACCCTCATAGGGGTCACTATGAGTCATCATAGACTCGAGGGCAGTGAGTTTGGGGTTTTGGACATTGGCGGAAGAGCCTAGTGGTGTGGGGTTATGTGTTGGGCTGCTAACTGCAAGGTCAGTAGTTTCAAACCAGCAGCATCTCCAAGGGAGAAAGGACTTACTACTCCCATCAAGAGTTAAGTGTCTCAAAAAGCTTTGGTCTAAAGATTAAACTCGGAATAAAGTGGCTATAACCCCCACCTTAAGAGAAGAAAAGTTCTTATTGCTTGGTCCTCTGTTTATAACACAAAGCAAAGTAGTATTTTCTTAGTTAAATGTTAACCAAAAAGTATATATATGAGTTAGCATCTCAGCACTTACCTGGGCAGTTCTACCCTGTCCTGTGGGGTAGCAGTGAGTCAGCATTGACTCAGTGGCAATGAATTTGGTTTTTGGACATTATAACTAACCTTTTTTGTTTAGTATATTTAGTATGTTTAGTATATTTTCAAGGATCATTATATTGTAAGATGAATCAGTACACTTACTGTTTTGATAACCTCTTGTGTAAATATACCACATTTTATCTGTTCATCAGCAGGTAGATATTTGGATTGTCCTTTTTGAGAAGCTGTAATGCTGCTTCTCAACATTTCTCTGCTGGTTTTATGATAACAGTCTTTGATGACTCTTATTACTAAAACATTCTAAAAGTTGATCTGGTCCGTGGGTGGTATCATCTCACTGTCAATTAGTGTTACTATTAGAGGAGTATCGGGAAATGCCCTGATAAGAAAAACTGAGGAAGCATACTCTCTCCATGTGCTACCCTGCCATCAAGTCGTGTCTAACGCATAGTGACCCTGTCCTTGGCCAGAGCAGATAACCTCATCTTTCTCTTACAGAACATTTGATGAGTTTGGACCACCGACCTTGCCATTTCCAGTCCAGCACTTAGCCAGCTGTGCCACTCTGTTTATTGCTGTTGCTTTCCTGTTACTGTAGTTTAGATAGGCTTTTCCTTTTATTTATTGGCGTGAAAATGACATTTAAAACAGTGGTTCTCTACTAGGGATAACCTTGTAACCTTGGCTCTTCACCTCTAAGGGACCTTGGGCAACATCTGGAGACATTTGGTTGTCACATCGAGAAGAGGATAGGAGGCCAGAGATGATGCTGTTGGGCAAGTCCATTTTGAGACCCAGGGACCCTGTGTGCCCCGCAAGACCTGGTCCTGCCCACGCTCAGCAATTGTTAGGTTGCAGCCTCTCTGTCATTCCATCTCATCAGGGATCTTCTCTTCTCCCTGCTGACCTCTGTGCCCCAAGTCCTTTTCCTGAGACGCGTCTCTTTTGAGGAACATTCTGACTACTTCTCCAAGGCATATTTGTTTGTTCTCTGACGGTCTGTGATGATTTCGGTACTCTGCTTCAAGTGCATCATCTCTGATCTTGCTTGTGTCTGGTTTTCACATGCATATGAAGTGTTGGAAGATACTTTGACGAAATTTTGTGCGAGTCCTCATTTTTGGCAAGTACAGTTATGTCCAATCCTGGTGCCACTTTGAGAGAGAGGAAAAAAAGATGGACACTAGGTAATACGGGGAGTTGGGCTCTTGGCTGGAAACGGTCAGCAGTTCGAACCCAGCAGCTACTCCAAGGGGAAAGGATGGCACTTTGTGCACAAAAACTCAAGGGGGTGGGGGGGGGCAGTCTTACAGATTCACACCCCAAAATGCATGAGACAGCCCCTCACAACAAACTTACTCTACCTAAAATATCCTTTGTGCTGAAATTGAGAAATCCTAGCTTAGAGACAATGATACTTACTTTTATATGCATCAGATCAAACCCTTTTCATTAAGAAGGCCACAAAAGTTTTCTCTATAAGACTTCCAGACAATGCTTGGAGAAATAACTTCACTTTTAAAAGATCTTTGGTCTAACCTATGTAAGTACAGGTATAGGAGCCCCGATGGTGTAGTATGTTGCGTGTTCAGCTGCTTAACCATAACTTCAGCTGCTCGAATCCATTCAGCCAGTCCTCGGGAGAAAAATAGGACTGACATTCTACTCCCATAGAGTTAACAGTCTCAGAAACTGTCATATAGGGTCACTGTGAATTGGAACCAATTCTGTGGTCTTGGATATTTGGGAAGCCTGGGTATGCACTGTTCATCGGCCACAATACATTCTGTGAAATCAGATGTGTGGGAACCTCGTACGCACTGCCTTTGTTTGCCCTCTGGAGGAACTGGCAATGGCGGTGGCTGGCTGGCTGGCTGATGGGAGCTGAGAGGAAGCAGGTGAGGGTGGAACAAGAGCCCCAGAAGAACCCTGCTCCAGACAGCAGGAGAGCCTGGGCCCAGGCTCACACCCTGTTCATGCTCCAGTGCTGCAAGCGTGGGTTAGGAGAAAACAAACCAGGGCTGCTTGTGTTTTTAAAGGGTACTAATCTTTTGGGGCCACGGACATAAATGCTGTCTCACAAAGCAACACATACCTGATTGTAAAGAGCTTAACAGGTGCCTGGAATAGACGTGTTTACTGTTCCTTGAAAAACCCTAGGAAGCGGTTCTGTGCACATGGGTCACCATGAATTGAAATCAACTTGATGACAACTAATAATTATAATTAAGGCAGAAGGCAGAGATTTAATTAATTTCTGGAACTTGTGGGGTGGGTTGGTTTCTTTAATCCAGGAGGTAGTGAGTTAGCTTTTTGACTGATTCCCATAAGATTTAAGGAAATTGACGTTAAACCCGTTTCATCATTGTAGCAAGACATCCAAATACACACTGGAGCACTAAACAAATGTTTACTTACAACGGGGAGAGAAGCACTGTTGAAACCCTGCGCTGTGTTCAGTGCTGGAGGTCAGAGCAAAGGGCAGGGAGGTTTTAGAGACCATCACACCTGGCAAATGCTGGCACCCTCTGGATTTGTTGGTCTTATATTTGAAGGGCCAGTTTCTTTCAAGCTGCTGCTTAGATTCTGATGGAATCAATGCTGCTGTTAGATTTTAAGAAACATAAATGATTTTTTTTTGTCCCTGAAAAGTTTACTCTGGTTGAGGGATTGGAGAACAGGAGAGAAAGATGGTTTAATCTTTTTAAAATAGTCAAAGGTAAAAGTTGAAACCCTAATCTATAAAGTTGATGAAAACCTAAATCACAGACCATAGTGTTGTTCTTATGTTGAACTTGACCTCCTTGTATGGACTGGCTACCAATGACAGCAGGCTGATAATTTCGTATTAGCTGGTGATAATCAGCTAAGCCCCACGAGGCGAGAGATGATGTGTTTTATCTGAGAGGGTGTGAAACAAACTAGCCTGTGCTGACACTTTTTCTCACGGGTCTTGTTCAGATTTGTTGGTTAGCTTCACATTTCCCCTAGACAAGTGGTTCGCAGCCTTCCTAATGCCTCGACCCTTTAATACAGTTCCTCGTGTTGTGGTGACCCTCCAACCACAAAATTGTTTTCATTGCTACTTCATAACTAATTTTGCTGCTGTTATGAATCAGGCCACCCCTGTCAAAGGGCGGAACCACAGGTTGAGAACCACTGCCCTAGACTTTTGCATATGAGCTAGGTGTAATGCCATTGCTGCTATAGGCCCGACATTTAAATAGTTTTATTTCAAAGCTGTAAATAGATTAAATATGACTTGATCATAAATGATATTTTGGAACAAAATTAAGGTTCTCACTACAAAGAAATATGGAAACTTTACATTCCAAAAACCGTATTTTATCTGTATTATTACACGTTCACCTGCTTTGAACATTGAAATAACAGTACTTCGAGTTAACTTTTTGTGAATTTAGTGACAGCTTACAGAGCAAATCATCAGTTTTACATTGGTAATTCATAACATTTCATTTTGTCTCACTCATTGCAATCCCTCACAATAACATCACTCACTCCACTTCCTTTCCGTTGTTTCCTGTCTCCATTGCTCCTCCTCTCTGAACTTTGTCCTTGGGTGATCACAAATGGTTGATTATTTTAAGATGTGGTGCCTTACTAATGATTGTTTCCCTTTTGTTGTTGTTCCTTAGGTGCCATTAAGTCTAATCCAACACATTGTGACCCTATGCACACAGAGCCCCCACACATCGCTAGGCCCTACACCGTCCTCATCCTCCCAGTTGATGCTATGTTACTCACTGTGTCGATCCATCTACCCGTGAGGGTTGCCTTCCCCCTTTTTTTTTGCTGACCCTCCACTTTATAGGCATGATGTCCTTTTCCAGGCCTGATCTCTTGCGAACAGAGACTGAGGTCTCACTACCCTTGTTTCTTAGCGCCATTCTGGTTGTACTTCTTCCCGGGCAGGTTATTTCTTCTGGCCATCTGTGGTCCTCTCAATGCTCTTTACAAATGCCATCATTCAAATGCATCCGTTCTGTTTCCTTACACCCTGTCCAACTTACACACACACACACACACACACACACACACACACACACGGCTACTGAAAATACCATAGCTTGGGCACAGAGTGAAAGGATGCATGGAGATAGCTGATGCAAGGGTTTATAGGGGTTGGAGATAGGAAGATTGAGGGGGTTTGGGGAGTAAGCAATGAAAGGCGGAACACTAGAACTAATTGTGATTATACAGCTAGCTCATTTTAAAGGCGATTTAATCATGGGGAGAAAATGTTCTAAAATTGATTGTGGTGATGATTGTACACCTATTGTGTTAAATGCAGATTCAGTGTTGATAAAAAATGTAAAACAGGAAAAAGGAAGCAAATACCATGGCTTGGGTAAGATGCACCTTAGTCTTCAAAGTGACGCTCTTGCTCATCAATGCCTTGAGATCTAGTGCCCAGTATTCCCTTATAGACCTATCTGGTTTGGCTGAAAATTGGATTCTGGGGTGAGTTTAAATGATGGCTGCTGGCTTAGGGTTTTGAGTTTTTTTCCACACCCTTCCCTACTCTAATCAGGACCCTTCTAATGTGATTCCTTTCATAGCACTTGGGCATCATCTAGTTCTTCTGGTCTCAAGGTTATAGAGACTGATGTATGCATGGTCCATTAGTTCTTTAGACTAATTGTTTCTATTTGTCACCCACTTTCAGACAGGAAGAGACCAAGACTTGGATGATTTTATGCCCATTGACCTTGTGCCTTGGGTCCCCTAAGGTTACTGAGCCCTAGAGAGAGTTCTGAGGACTAATGGGGGGGTGGGGGGCATTTGAATGTGTTGGTTGTGAGGGTTTTCTTGTCTTTTCCTCAAGTATAGCTCATCCTCGTGTGGTAATAGAGACTACTTCATGAAGGAGCGAGGGAAAAAATGAGCTGATACCAAGGGCTCAAGTAGAAAGCAAATGTTTTTAAAATGATGAGGGCAACAAATGTACAAATGTGCTCGACACGATGGATGTGTGGGTTGTGATGAGAGTTGTATGAGCCCCCAATAAAATGATTTTTTTTAAAAGAGAAGATAGTATTTTACCGAAAAGGGGCAATAACCTCAAACTACAGCACGCGGGCCACATGAGACCCACCGAGGACATTTATCTGGCCCCACCAGGTGTTTTTGCCCTGTTTGTTTTTTTACTTCAAAATAAGATATGTGCAGTGTACATAGGAATTTGTTCATAGTTTTTGTTTGTTTGTTTTTTGAACTATAGTCCGGCCCTCCAACGGGTCTGAGGGACAGTGAACTGGCCCCATTTAAAAAGTTTGAGGACCCCTGCTCTAAGGTCTGTGAGTCTTTGGGCGTGGTATACAGACTACGTTAGTGTTTTATTTATCCTTGTGTCCCAGGAGCTACAAATGTAAAGTCTTAAAAAGTCATTGCTGAATTAATCATCTCAAAAGTCATGTGAATGATCCTAGTAATAAAAGGCTGTCCTCACCCCAGTCAAGGGGCTCCTTGTTTCCTGTAACTTTCTTTCCGTTGGTTGGTTGGTTCCTAACTTACTGTTGGGTGCTTCTTTGCCTTTATAGTATATATTCTCTGAGTGATATCTATAGTATTTCTTCATCTGGTTCTTACGGGCCTGAATGGGTGTTTTGGTTTTTTGGGTTTTTTCCTTTAGCACTTTTTTGTTGTTGTTGTGCAATTCTGTAAATGCCCAAGTATTGATAAATAATTGTTCTTTTGCCTTTAAAATAGCAAAAAAGAAGAATAAGAAGGGGAAGACAATCTCCCTAACAGACTTCCTGGCTGAGGATGGGGGGAGCGGTGGAGGAAGCACCTATGTCCCCAAACCAGTCAGCTGGGCTGATGAAACAGATGACCTGGAAGGAGATGGTAATTTTTGTTTCATTTTCTTTCTTTTTTTTTTTTTTTTCCATCATTTTCAGTCATTATCTTCTGGATAAAATCTACTTCATTAGTAACTTGCAAATCAAGTTAATTAAATGGGTTTTTCTTCAAGGTACACATTTATGGTTAATGTTTTATAGGGGTGTAGACAGCCCTTGTTCATAGGTGTTTGGAATTTTTTATAATTAAGAGGGCCACAGCTGCTCTTCTGGATAAAAGTGACTGTCCTCCCTGACAAAAACTTGAGTCTCGGGAACCCCAGGAAGCAGTTCGCTGTTTCTCCTCAGGTTGCTGTAAGTCAGAATCAGTGGCAATTGATTGGGTTGGGTTTTAGAGAGAGTCTGTGTCTGTCAGTCAGATTTGGTCTCAGGTTTATGTTATTAAGACTTGGTTGGGTCCCAAGTGATTAAGAAGTACACTTTTAGTGATTCTAGCCCTTGACGTAATAACAGATTTTTCTCACGTTTCTCTTCACAGTTTTATTAGCACTGCATCCACATGTACAATTATCACCACATTCAATTCTAGAACATACTTTACCTTGTGCTCATTGTTATTGGTATATGATTATATATTTTTTCTAATTGTGGCCAAAAAATATATCCAACAAAATGGTCTCTAATTCCACAACTTTTACATGTATGATTCAGTGTAGAGTATCTTTTTAAAAATTCCTTCCTGGCCTAACATTGTGTGTCCTCACAGAAGGATCTGTGCCAGTAGTGGCAGTAGAGCCTCGGGAATGTACTAGAGCTGCGGAGTCATCTATTCTAGGAAGGACCTAGTCGAAAGAACCACAGTAGTCTGAGGAAGAGAAGGCAGGGTAGTCATTAGAGTGGGGATACACAGGGGTCATTGGCATGTCATTTGGACGAGTTCTGTGCCTTCAGGGAGCAGAGAAACAGACAGGAGCCATTCTTTATAATTAGCACGTATGACCGAAAATTTATTGCAGTCATTTTTTATTAAAAGCTTTTATTGCGTTCTGAAGAATGCTTTTTACTTTTGTGACCTATTTTTCATAATGGAAATAAGTATTTCCTATAATCTTTTCATACGTGAAGTGTTGATATTTGCATTGTAAATAGATGTGCACTGCTGTGAGTTGGGGTTGTTTGGTGGGGTGGGGGTGGCACAGAAAAGCCATTACAAAATACTTCTCCAGCCTAGAGGTAGGGATTTGAGTTAGTTGTTAGTGGTGGTTAAATGCATTGGAGGTTAGAGGTGGACAGGTTGAGTCATAACCTATAAAGTACCTGGCACATGATTAGTAGTGGCAGTTAGCCTTGTTTCTTTACTGGATAAGAATTAGAGTAATTCTTTCAACAAACGCCTGAGCCGTTAAAGGCTTTGAAAGAATTAAAAACAAGACATGACTACATTACTAGACTATTAACATTTCAGAAGCATTTTCTATTTTAAATTGCCCTTATTTATTTGTTTTAATATCTGGCAAGTAGCACAAAGTCCTGTTCTGTTAGTGCTGGTGTGAAGGTTTTTTCTGATTTCCTATATCTACTTTCTATCCTAGTTTCCACCACTTGGCACAGTAATGATGATGACGCGTATAGGGCACCTCCAATTGACCGTTCTATCCTGCCCACTGCTCCACGGGCTGCTCGGGAACCCAATATTGACCGGAGCCGTCTTCCCAAATCGCCACCCTACACTGCTTTTCTAGGGAATCTGCCCTACGATGTGACAGAAGACTCAATTAAGGAATTCTTTAGAGGATTAAATGTAAGTGTAAGAGTTGGCCATAAACTAGGTGATGGCGGAGGGGTGTAGCATATTAGTAGTGACTGCCCCGGACGTGCTGTGGTGAAAAAGACTCGGGTTGTGACTGGGTTTGGAAGAAATGTGTTTGTGGCTAAGTGGTATTTCGGGCCTTTGAGAATGTTCTTGACCTACACCATTGGGCCTTTTTAGCATAATGAGTTAAATAGCTTCCTGTTACAGAGAGGATCTCTTGGAAAACTATTAACTCTTCTCATAAAGAAATTTAAAGGTGGAGGAGCTGGTATCAAGGAGTTCGAGAAGGAAAAGAGTGTCTTGATATTGTGGTACTAGTTGTAAAGTACTGCTTGATGTAATTGATATGATACCTGTATTAGCTCCCTAAAACAGTTTTGAAAAAAAATAAGTAAATACCCCCCCAAAAAGGAAGAAATTTAAAGGTGAAGATGCTTACAAACTGTCCAAAAATGGAAAGACAACTTTCTTTTAACTTAGCTGTTTTGTTACTGATACTCAAACTTGTATCTAAATTGCTTGATTCTTTGTATGTTTGTTACCTGGAGTGTTTGCTGAGAGCTTAGTGGGGTGTTTATACGCTTGTTTTTAAAAGCCCGAGGCAGAATATTTGGAAACTGGTTTACAAGGTGGCAAAAAGATGTTAAGGAAAGTGAATATAGAGGTGTTCAGATGCTCCTTTGCCTAACTTTCATTAAAAAGTACTTAGGAAATCAGAAAACAAAAGTAATAAACCTATTTCCGATTCTGTTGTGGTTTTCTCTGGGGTCTTTACCACAGATGAGATGCTTTAAAATGCCTTTCCTCTAAGAATTGGCTTTGTTTTTGACTCTTCCCATGTGTTTCGGTTCTTGAGGTCTTTGTTTCCAAGGTGGCTGATACTACCGACGAGGACGCTAGGGTGATCCCAAAAAACTATCACCAAGTGGATGCCGACTCATAGCGATCCTTCCTGTGGGACAGGCTGGAACGAGAAGTGCCCCTACGGGTTTCTGAGACGAACTCTATGGGAATAGAAAGCCTCCACTTTGTCCCATAACACGGCTAGGAGAGCAGATTCCTACACTATCTTGGGCGGTGCGCTGTAGTACAAAAGTGCTTAGTTGCCAGGAGTGCTAAGTCATTTGTTTCCTGAAAGGGGCCAGTTGGCCCAACAAATTTGGACACCTTGTACCCTAGATCATGTTCTCTGCGTGGACCACTAGTTTCTGTCATCTGCATTTCTGATTGGCTGTTTTGGCTACTGCCTGTAAATCTCTGTATAAGCCTTGAATACAACCACAAGGGTGGCCTGTATTTTAGTTCACTCTTGTGGCTTTTTAAATAGAACGTTGGCTAACCTTTGGCCTTTTGCGGTGGTTCACCTGTTGTAGAACTGGTTGGCTGCTAAAGCTAGCTCCCCTTTTTTATTTTATTGTTTCTTGCTCCTTTTACTGCTCCCATGAAGGGTTAGTCTCTGAAACCCACAGGGCAGATCCACCCTGTCCTCTAGGGTCCATGTGAGTCAGAATCCACTTGACAGCTGTGAGTCTTTGAGTTATAAGAAAACCTGTATCTTGGAAGCCAGAATGAAGTATCAAATCAGTGATCCAGAATATTTACTTAATATGCAAGGTGTTGAAGAAATGAGGTCCAGCAAGAAAAGAAAACACATGAAGAATGTTAAGATGGAAAGAAAATAGTATGGTGGGGGAGGGACAGGGAGACTTGAAATTCAAAATGGAGATTGCAAACCCATTCGTTTGTAGATGATCAATAATTAAAGAATAGTACCAAGGAGTGTGGTGTGAAAAGGCTCCAGGGTAGAGTGCAAACTTTGTTACAAAACACATGTTGACTTCAAATTAAAACCAGATTAGTGTAAATTTTCCCCACTCAAATGTGAGAATTCCTTGGTTTTCCATCTCGGAATTTTGTAGGTGTTAGGAGTGTGGTGGCAGGCCAGTGTTGGATTCAGTCCAGCTGTTTATAAATGAGCTGTGGTGCCGAAGGGCTAACCACTTGGCTTAAAGGTTGGTAGTTCAACCCCATCCACTGATGCCACAGAGGGACAGGTCTCCTGGTGATCTGCTCAAGGATTATTGAAACACACACACCCCAAAAAACCGTGTGGGGTAGTTCTGTCTCAGTGAATGCTATGACTTGAAATATGCACCCAGCAGCAACTGGGTGGTGGGTGGGTGTGCGCACGCGCACCCCCTAATAAAGTTCCTCAGATGTGTAAATTCTTTGAAAAATAAACTGCCCAGAAAAGTTGGGCCAAAAAGCTTTAATTTATGAGAGATGAACTTTGGAAATATATACTAAAGCCACCTAAAAATAAATTATGTGAAGAGGTCACTGAAGAAGTAATTAGGGAATGGGCAGTTGCTCTTAATTGAGGGGAAAAGTGAATTGTGGATTTCCGAGACTTAACTCTTTATAAGAATAACTCTTTATCCTAAGGAGTGGCATCAGTGCTAAATTAATAGGGTTCGACATTCAAAGGGCATAAATAGCGTATACTGAAATTGTTCTCCCTCTTTATTGGTTTCCCCTTGAAGACAACCAGGACGTATGTATTCAGAGAAATGCATTTTGTGCGCGGTAGTAAAAAAGAAGTGAACAGGATGGTTTACCAAATATTTTCTGTTTCTTCCAGATCAGTGCTGTGCGCTTACCTCGTGAACCCACCAATCCGGAGAGATTAAAAGGTTTTGGCTATGCTGAGTTTGAGGACCTGGACTCCCTGCTCAGTGCCCTGAGCCTCAATGAAGAGGTAAAGTAAAGAGTTCTAGTGCAAGTCTTGATTTAAAACACACACTAAGGATAAAGTCTTTTTGTCCTCAGTGCCTCTTAGCCTTGCTGATTGCTGTCTCTCTCCGTGGTCCCTGGCCTTTACTCATTATGTGGAACAGAAGCGTATTGCTCCATCTGGGCACCTTCATGCAGGAATCTCGAGTGTGCTTCACTCCTGGCTCTTCTTTCCTTGGTGTTAGTGGGGTTCTTTTCTCCTGCTTCTGAGATGACCCACTTTATACCTGAGGAACTAGACGCTTCTACACCTTACTTGCATGTTCCCGAACCCAGTCATTTGGTGGGCGTTACGAACACTGGACAGAAGAGCCATGTCAGGTCATTTCACTTCACTGTCTCAAGCATGATGGATGTCCTTTTCCAGGGTCTGTTTGGGAATTCCTGATAATATGCCCAATGGACATGAAATGAAGTCTCCCCAATCATTGATTCTAGGAGGCCTTTTAGAGCATATAAGAGGATAAAAATTTAATTTTCTAATCTTACTGTGTTGTTCTTGTTTTTAATCCATCACTTGCACCCAACCTCCAACAAATCATAGCTCACTTTTGAATTTCAGAAAACCCTGATGCTTTAGGAGAGGTACTCTAGGGAACACCTGTGGAAGAAACTCAGCATATGAAGTCATTTAGCAAAATCACTAACACTCGTTTATTTATTCACAAGCTGGCTGTGCATCTCATAGCCCTCCCCCCCTCCCCAAGATAGGACCCGATCCAAGCAAAAAGAAGTTTTTATCTGTTGAAAAATTATTGTATATGTAGCCGAAAGGAATTACTGAAAGCCAAATGAAGGTTGTACATGATAGAGGGGCAGGAGGAAAGTAAAAAGAAATAGAGGAAAGAACTAGGAGGCAAAAGGCATTTATAGAGGTATAAACATAGGCGTGTACACATGTATTTATTATTGATATACAATGATAGGAATATAAGTCTACATATATTTATAGGTTAAGTATTAAGGTAGCAGATGGACATTGGGCCTCTCTACTCAATCCTCCCTCAACGCAAAAATACTTTGTCTAATAACCTGGCATTCTGTGATGCTCACCTTCCAGACATGATTGCTAAAAACAAAAATGCATAAGTTAATGTGAAGAAAGCTGATGGTGCCCAGCTATTACAAGATATAACATCTGGGGTCTTAAAGGCTTGAAGTTACACAAGCGGCCATCTAGCTGGAAAGTAGCAAAACGTACATGGAAGAAGCACGCCAATCCATGGGATCAGGTATCAGAAGACCCAAAACAAGCAACCATTTCTATGCGGACGAGGGGGTCGGGATGGAGACCCAACGCCCACCTGTAGACAATTGGACATCACCCTCACAGAAGGGTCACAAGGAAGGGAGCCAGCCAGGGTGCAGTATAGCACCGACAAACCACAACATTCCTCTAGTTTGTTAATGCTTCCTCCCCTCCCCCACTGTCATGACCCCAGTTCTATCTTACAAATCTGGCTAGACCAGAGAGAGCATGTAAACGTGCAGATTAGAGCTCTCAGCACAGAATCCCGGACAGATAAGCCCCTCAGGACCGAGTATGAGAGTAACCATACCATGAGGGAGGGGGGTGGGGGGGACGGATCACAATGATCAACAAACACCCAGGGGACGAACAACAGAAAAGTGGGTGAAGGGGAATGGTAGCTGGTGATGTAAAATATGAAAATAAAAATAATGTAGAAGTACATTTAGGGTGGGGGGAAGGAAGCTGATACCAAGGGTTCAAGTAGAAAGAAAATATTTTGGAAATGATGGCAGCATATGTACAAATGTGCTTGATACAGTGGATGTATGGATTGTTAAAAGCTGTAAGAGCCCCTGGTAAAATGATTTATTTTTTAAAGTTGTTTTTTTTTTTTTAAGAAAAATTGTCGCGTAAGCCCTGAAATCTCCAAATTGTGGTAGTTGTTGTGACTGCCGCCTCTTAACTCCAGGAGCCCCTCTTTATTGAGAAGATCATTTCCTGTACTATAAATTTATACTCCAAAATGCCATTTATTTAGATTTGAAGTCGACAATTACTAAAAACATTTTTGCTGTTTTATAATTGTATACCATCACAGTAATTGAAGTAAGTGTGGAGGAAGGAAAGATTTGTGTAGTTAAATCAATACATGGAAGGCTGTCACATTGTTAGTGTATTTTATTAACATTACTAATCTACAACTTGACCTCTTAGTCTGAGTAAGAAAAGGGTACACCATGTAATTGTTTCTATTGGAGGTTTATTGGCGTGATTGCTGCTTAAAATATCATGGTTTCAGTGTGGTGCTTTGGTTGTGTAGAGATGTCATCGTGGCTGTATTTAATGATCCCAGGTGTTCATAACTAAAATTTATTGTTATCCTTCTTCATCTGTAGACTCTACTATGAATTGAGGAAAAATCATCAGTAGAGTAATTGGGTTGCTCTTTTACTTAATATTAAAAAATATATAAGTAATGGTATGGGAAAGGGAAACCAGAGGCTGTCTCTGGGGGAACTGATTTACCAAGAGGTAATATTGAGTGAAAGATTCCGAGACTTTGAGTAGAGACCATGCTTTGTCCAACTTTGCCTAGTGCATAGGTATTGTTAATACAGCAAAGCGAACACTGCCCAGTCCTGTACCATCCTCACGTTCCTTGCTGTTGTAGCCAGTGTCAGTCCGCTTGTAAAGGGTCTTCTTCTTTTTTCGTTGACCCTCTGCTTTACCGAGCACCGTGTCCTTCTCCAGGCACCGGGTCCCCCCTGATACACATGCTTGAGGTACATAAGACAAACCTGACCATCCTTGTTTATAAGGAGCATTCTGTTGTAAGGGCTCCACAAATGTTTGAGTAATTGTAGTGGGCTGAGATAAAAGCCTTTTATGTTTAACTAGTTGTCTAGGACTTGTTTTTACACTTGACACAATGTTGTGGATAGTGAAAGTATTCTATGAAATTTGGTTTTGTTAAACAGTAAGATGGTTGACCCTAAATTAGGATCATTTAAGCCCAACTTAAAGGAGTTATTTCCATTTTTAAGCCTTTTTAAAGGATTCTTTAGCTAATGGGTAGGCGTGTTAGTTAGATTACAGTGATTTTCCTTTATTTTCCTTCCCCCAGTGCTTCTGCTATGCCCAGACGTTCAAGGTCACTCATGGGATTTGTGCATAATGGGGCGAAAGGTTGGTTAATATGGTCCTATGCTCTCAGTCTCTAGGTAACAGGAGAATTCGAGTGGATGTTGCTGATCAAGCACAGGATAAAGGTAAGAAATGGCCTGTTTTGCTGTGATCCTAGGCTAACAAAGTTGGGGTGTCCTTAGACATTTTTGATAGAGGTGGACAGTGGAAGCCCTATCTGAATCTAGAGTGGCTTTCAGCAAAGGACCGTTTTGGCTGTCACAGGGAAAGGTTGGGGAGAGTGCTGTTGTATCTGATGGATGGAATCCACAGATGCTACAAACACCCCATAGAATAGCTGCCACTCCCCAACAAAGAATTGTGCCCCACAGTGTAACAGTGAAAGGCTGGTCCAGGACTGCAGGCCTAAGGTGAGAGAAAGCTGTAGCAGTCTGCTTCAGTTAAGCTAGAACCCCGAAAACCTAGTGGGGTGGATCCCTCTTGTATGGGCCCCTGTGAATCTGAATTGCCCGCA